GAGTTCGTCACAGAGAGTAGAAGAAGAGTTCGTCACAGAGAGTAGAAGAAGGGTTCAGGATGTTATTGATCTTTCTCACCTTATCAGAGACTTTCGTCTCTCCGGTTGTCTCCTCTTTCCGACTCCCCGTTTTCTCCGAGTCGGTCTGACGGCTCACGTTTCCTCCGGTGGGATCTCCTTGACTCTTCTCTCCTCCACTTCCTGGTGGTCCTCCTCCTGGTGCACCTCCTCCTCCTCCTCCTCCTCCACTGCTGCTGCTCGTCTCCCCACCAGCTGCAGCAGTCGGCACCTCCAGGACCTGCAGGTCTAAGTCTGTGCCTCCCTCCATCTTTATCACCGCTGCAGAGAAAGACAGGACAGAGGGTGAGACAGTAGGAGGACTTCATTACCCAGAAAACCCTGCCAAGTGACAGCAGAAAACTAGAATATGAACAGTTTTGAGTTATTTATAACCCGTCTCACTGCCCGGTATATAACCCGTCTCACTGCCTGGTATATAACGCGTCTCACTGCCCAGTTTATAACCCGTATCACTGCCCGTCTGTCTCTACCTGCGTCCAGCAGCTTGATGATGGGGGGGGCGTGCTCCATGTCCAGCGACAGCTCCTCCAGCCAGCTGTTGTCCATCAGGAAGAGGAAGACGCCCAGACGCGTCTTTAGGGCGGCCAGAGACTCCGCCCTCCTGGCCGTGATGTCATCCGGGTGGTACTTGGACCGGAACCACTCCTGGTCCTTGTGCTGGAGGAAGAAGTCCTGCAGCTGCTGCCTCCTGAAGTCCAGCTTGTACTGATTGTAGCGTTTCACCGACTCCGTCTCATCCACGCTGTCCTCCATGTTTAACAGGAAGTCCTGCAGGAGACACGAGGAGACGCTGAGGAACCAATCAGAGACGCTTCAGTGTCATCGCTGCTTCCTAAAGGAGGCGTGACTCACCTTAAAGGTCCTCATGGTGGGGGGACCAGGAGGAGGGAGGTCTGGATCCACCATGCCCAACCTGAGACACATTTTATCTTCACGTTACCAACAGTAGTGTCACATTTCATGTACATAAAACATGAGGCCCACTCACACTGTGTCTGGAGGAGTGTCTGCTACAGACCATAATATCCCGTCACCATTTGGGATGTGTATCGTTAGAGAAGCGTTCTTTTCCAACGGTTTATAACCCGTCTCACAGCTGACAGTGAGCTCACCTGCCCTGCAGCGGGTGACCCCCGTGGTGCGGGTGAAGGTGAGGGAGGTCAGGGTGCCAGCCCTGAGGCCCCGCCCCAGGAAACGGAGCCCCGCCTCCTCCTCCGTACGGCATAGGCATGTCGTAACGGTACGGCTCCCGGTGGTCCTCCCTGGAACGTCATGATCACCAGTTTAGTATAAACACACACACACACACAGACACACACTCACACTCTCTCACCAGTCTCTCCTCATGCGTTTGTGCTGAGGGCTGATGTGTCGGGGGGGAGAAAACCTCTCTCTGCGACCGCGATCGTAGTCCCGCCTCCTCTCTCTGCCGCGGTCCCAGTCCCTGAACACACACACCGTTAAAACACACACACACAGGTGTGCTATGATGAGGTGTGTGTGTGTACCTGTCAGGCCAGTCGTCTCTCCTCCTCTCCTCTCTCTCTCTCGACCGCTCCATGTCACTCCTCTCTCTCCTGAACTTGTCCCGCCTCCTCCTGTCGAACTCGTCATCACTGTCTCCCATTGGACTAAAGACAAACAGGATGTACAGTACAGATAGTCCAGTAATAGTACGGTCAAAAGTACAATATGTACCTCTGAGATGTAGTACAGTAAAAAGTACAATATGTACCTCAGAGATGTAGTACAGTAAAAAATACAATATGTACCTCAGAGATGTAGTACAGTAAAAAGTACAATATGTACCTCTGATGTTTAGTGGAGAAAATGTAAATACTAACATAATAAAATACTAATACTACTAATATTAGTAAAGTACTGCTTTGATTTGACATCTTATATGAGGAGTAATATTGATATATAAAAGATACTATTATGTAATGTAGCGACACATATTAATATATTAGCATAGCTGGTAGCTAGCCTGTTAGCTTCTGCTCAGCGCCATTAGCGATGACTCATTATGAACTAAAGACACAAAGTGAGTGGAACCACAAATAAACAGAAACAAACAGTGAAGTGAGCTAATGCTAAAGCTAACAGTCAGCCTAACACTAGCTAACTAGCTGGCTAGCACAGCGTGCTAACTGTTAGCTGTAACTGTTCGGGGCTAAAAAACGCGCTTCAGCTCGCGACCTCTTTGATTTCCGGTTGTCAGAGAAACGTTACCGAAGAGTTTACCTGAGCGCGTGCGGCTTCAGCTGCCTAAAAACACGGAGAAACACGCTCGTGAACTTAAACGTAGCGGGTTGCCTATCCCGCCGCGAGCCAGAGATCACAATGAAACAGCAACACTTCCGGGTTAAGGTTATTTCCGGTCAGGCTTGTCAGTGTAAAGGGAAAGAAACGTCGCCACCTTGAGGTCAGGAGGGAAACAACACGTACAGTTCTACCAGTTAACGTCACGTGACTAAGTACGTTCAGTACTGAACTTAATAAGAGGTACCTGTATGTACGTTAAGTACTTTGTCTAAAAATGAAATGAAATGTGTTTATGCTGTCAGATTAAATGTGACCAGTCAGCGGCTGGACATGTTTTGTACTAAAAAGAGAGAAAATCAGAAAGACAGAAATTGATATACTGACGGTGATTATGATGCTGAAGCATCTCAACAATAACCTTAAACATGGTTTCTGATTAAAGAGGATTTATACATTTTATTTGCACTTTTTCCATCATTCTTTTTGGTTCTATTACATTTTATTTGATGTGGCAAAAGCCTAAACGTTCTTTATCACATGTCATTTAATTAATCACGTTAATGAAGTAAGAAGTGTGGCGGCAACCAGTGTTACCTCACAGCAGGAGGTCTGCACCTTCTCCCCGCGTCAGCGTGGCTTCTCTCTGGGTTCTCTCTGGGTTCGTGAAGTTGTAACCTGAGAGTGAGCGGGTTCACCTGGAGCGCTGCACGCACACACGCACGCACACACGCACGCGCACACCCCCCCCC